ATAATTCGTGGGTGAGTTTTGTCCTCTGATCCAGTCATTTAATTCTTTTTGTAAAATCATGTTTTAAAATTTTGTGTTAGTAAACAGACCAGGTGTTGTCTCATAGTAACTGCATTATATTCTCTGAACACTGAATCAAAAATGGAAGCAAAACAGAAGCCACTACACTTCTGGCTGTGCTACTTTCCTAACCATAGTAACTGTCTATTCTAAGTAGAAGAGAAGAATGAGCAGTTTCAGCTTAGAATGTGGGGTTGCTGTAGCCAAGAACTCTTGAAGTACCTTGTCACTACTGGCAGCAGGAACATGGGATTTTTAACTTAGAGGCAAGCAGAGTAAAGTTTAGTGCTTTCCTGATTTCTCTTGTTCTCCTATGAAGAGATAACTTGGCTGCCCCTGCTCCATGCATCATATGCCAAGAACTTCAGGCAATGACAGGAGATGCTATTGTTAGCTTTTATTCTCTCTATAACCTCTTCATTTTAAATAGGAGTGCTATGGTTAGAGGAAGATGGCAAAATGAAAAATAAGAAGACATCAGCCAAAAGATACCAGAAAATAGAAGAAAATGAGATAAGGGGCTATGAACTGGAGGGCAAAACAAGTGAATTATTTGTGGCGGTCTGAGTTTCTAGACATTTTGGAGAAATTGAATCTTAGGAAACTGTTTTGAAAGGAGTCATAAACATGGTTAAAGAGGAAAGAGTGACATTTAAGGCAGGGGAACTGCAAGTGCAAAAGCTTATAGTGGAAATGAACCATAGATATTGACCATGGAAAGGTATGTAGGGCTGAGGAATAAGCAGGCCAGAATACAGAGGCTGGCATCAGTAGACCGAAATTTTACACTTTGCTGCTGAAATTATAACCTTTAGTAAACTGATAATCTCTCTAAGATAAGGGATAAAAAATTTTTTTAATCTTCTTTGATGTGGTTTGGGAATTTAATGAGCATAGGAGTGATCACTTTCTTGGTCCCTGAAACAGGGAGGAAATATTAGTATTATAAATAGCTAGACTAGGAGCTTGTTAATTATATCTTTCTTTTGCTCCCTCTTTCTCAGGCTACAATTGTCAGACCTGAGTAATAATAAGCAGGAAGAAGAAGAGAGAGTGAGCACAAGAGAAATGTGTGATTAGAAGACTCCTAGCATAGCTAATGCTAACTTTCCTCCCCATTTAGGGGGACCAAGTTCTCAAGATTCTTACGGGTACATTCTTTAAAAGAGTAATTATCTCTAGAAGGGTTGAAAATTACCTCCTTGGGGTATAATGTCCAATATTTGGATAATGGATATACTAGAAGCCCAACCCCCACCATTATGCAGGTAATACTCATGTAACAAACAAGCACATGTACCCTCTGGATCTATATTTTTTTAAAGTGTAGTTCTCAAATTGAGGTTCCTAAACTGGCAGCCTTAGTACTACATGAGAACTTGTAAGAAATGCTGGTTTTCAGGCCTCCTCCTAGGTGTACAGAAGTATAAACTCTGAGGTGGAACCCACCAATCTGTTTTAAAAAGCCTTCAGGGTGATTCTCATGCACACTAAAATCTGAAAAACACTGCCTTAAAGCTTTTTTTTTTTACCAATATAAAAGTACTCCAGAAAATAGAAAGTTTATGCATTCTTCTTCCAAACTCCTTTTCTCAATGCTTTACAATTTTCTGATTAAATCTAGGAGAAATAAAAAGAACCCAGTCAGGTGGTGCTAGGCTTTCAACACACACTGTTCTCCCTTTGAAAAAGAAAAGTGTAGCTGCGCTCCAGACCTACAAACAGCAACTGCAAGAGCGCCCAACTGGGGTGCATCGTAGAGCATCAGTCCCTGCCTTGGATGTGTAAACCCAGGAAGGATATTTTTTAAATCAATTATTAACCTCAGACTCAGAAGTGTTCTATTTGACAGAGCTTCAGAAACTGAATCATTAATGATATCCAAGACAAACATATAGCTGGTGATGCTGAACTTAAAGAGAATTTAGCAGCTGTTTATTAAATGCCAAGAGATAATTGGTAATTGCAACTTTGGGGATCAAATAAAAATGACAAAGGTAATAGACAGCACACTAAAAGGGGGACAAGTGGAAATATGAAGGCTGTGGTCACTAAATATAAGGAGAACTGAGATGCAGCTTTTTGTCAAAAGGAGGGAGAATGGAGTAAGAGTCACAGCAAGGAACAAGAGGCAGATGAGAGGAGTGGGAGTCTAATTATAATAAAAGCTGATTGATTGGACAGGTGTGGTGGCTCACACTTATAATCCCAGCATCTGGGGAGGCTAAGGCAGGAAGATTTCTTGGGCCCAGGAGTTCAAGATGAGCCTGAGCAATATAGTGAGACCCTGTCTCTCCAACAAATAAAAAAATTAGCCAGGCCTGATGGCATGTGACTGTGATACCAGCTACTCAGGAGGCTGAGGTGAAGAGATCATTTGATCCCACGAGTTGAAGGCTACAGTGAGCTATGATCACACCACTGCACTCCAGCCTCAGTCAGAGTGAGACACCATCTGAAAAAAAAAAAAACCTAATTGATTCATGCCTTTAACAGAAAGCCCTATCTCTGCTAAAAATACAAAAATTTAGCCAGGTGTGGTGGCATGCACCTATAGTCTCAGTTACTCGGGAGGCTGAGGCAGGAGAATCGCTTGAACCTGGGAAGTGGAGGTTGTAGTGAGCCAAGATCATGCCATTGCACTCCAGGGTGGGTGACAGAGTAAGACTCCATCTCAAATAAAAAGAGAAAGGAGGGTAAGACTATAAAATATACTGTCAATAAAGAACCATTAAACATAGATACTCTTGTATTATTAGTAACTAACATTTTGAGTTCTCATTATGTGCCAAGCACTGTACTAAGTGCTCTCATTTGATTCTCACAATAGCCCTGTGAAATAGACACTATTATTCCTACTAAGAGATGAGGAAACTGAGGCTTTTAGAAGGAAAGTTACACAGCTAGTATGTAAGCCTCTAGGATTTGAACCAGGCAGTCCTACTCCAGGATCTGAGCTCTTCACATATAAACTTCACAATTTATCACATCTCCAAGATGACTAAATACTATTCTATATGCTACCATCCTTTTAAAATAATTGTCTTACTGTTATTTTCTGATTACAAAATGAATATATGATCATTGCATCTAACTCAGAAAATTCAGAAAGTGTTTGTAAAGATCATTCTTGGTCCCATCACCCAGAGATTATGATGGTAACATATGATGTACTTTATTTTTATACTTGGTGCCTCAGAACCATCTAGGGTGCCCTTTAGCAGGAAATCAGCTCCAGCCCAGACACTCTGATTCACAAGGTCTGGGTAAGGTCAGGCTTGTGTATTTTCAATAAGTACCTCTTCTATAAAGCCATAGTTCAAGCCCAGTTCTGAAAACACCATTCTATAACTTAGATTTTCAAATATTTCTGTGCAGAACATTCTGTATTTAGTTTATCTCTAGATTGTAGAATGCCTTGATTTTTCTCATCAAAGCTATTTTGTTTCAGAACCAGGAAAATATCTAATACAGAAGTAGTTTTCAAACATTAGTTTGCATCAGAATTACCTAGAGGACTTGTTAAAACATGGACTACAGACTTTATGATTTGTTAGGTCTGGGATGGAGCCCAATAACATGCAGTTTTAACAAGTTCCAGGATATTGCTGCTTCTGCTGATACAGGGACCACACTTTAAGAACCACTGTAATAGAGAGTACTTCCAAATGAGAGTTCCTGGTAGAAACTCTTCTTATGGTCTTTGGAAATCCCTTAAGATTCAAGTACAAGAGCCTGACCTTGAGGTCATTACTTAGAAACAAATTCAGTGACATATACTAGCATGACTAACATCATTCCTTCCTCAGAAATTCCATATGTGAAAACTCTATTCAGCTGTATCCATGTCTCTATGACAACAGTAAAAGTGTAACAAGAAAAGAATAGCGGCTGACGCTGTCAGCTAAAAAATCTTAAATGTCCACATGACTTCCCAGTGATGGAAGGGACAGTAGTACAAGGTCATTTGCACCCAGTAACAGGCATAACACCTATCACAGAAGTCTAATATGTGGCATTTCTTAAGGAGGACAAATACCAGAGGAGGATGTTGATGCTACTGGCAATTTTTATGAATTATACATGATGCACTATTTTAAAATTCAGCAGAAAACTGTCATTTACCCTCTTATAATAAAAGGAATTGTATGAAAAATGAAGTGCTAGGTGTGTAAATATGAGAGGCTACCAATATAATGGATCTTAAGCACATTTCTCTTTGCTGTCTAGCCAGAGACAGAAGACTAAGCTTTTAAAAGTAGGGTTGACCTTTGGAAATCCAGCAGAAGCATTCATGAACTAGATGCGTCAGTACTGTCAATCTGTGCTTCCACGCTAGCAACCAATTTCTAAATGTAACTCTATCATTTTATTGGCTTTTGGCTTTAACTCTTTGATACTGGAGTAATACAAGTTTATAACTATATTTGGTATTTGACATTTACTTGTCAATCAGCAGAAACATGAAAAAAAAACCCTTTCAGACAATATAATTTACCCTAGAAGTTTAAATGTTGAAATTAGAGATGTTCATTATTACTACAGACTGCTAAAATTCATCTAGGAAAATTCATTCATTTATGATTCAGTCAACAAATATCTATTGAGCATTATTCCAAGCCTTATTGTACATTCAGGGGATAGAGCAGTGAAATTATTGTATTTCACTGTTAAAAATACAAATTATTATTCTACATTCCAAGCAGTATTGTAGATTCAGGGGATAGAACAGTGAGAAAACACACACACACACACACACACACACACACACACACACACAGAAGTGGAGCAAGATGACCGATTAGAAGCCTTCATCAATCGTTCTCCCCACAGGAATACCAAGTTGAACAACTGTTCACACACGCACACACACACACACACACACACACACACACAAACGCCTTCATAAGAACAAAAAATCAGGTGAGTGATCACAGTACCTGATTTTAACTTCATGTCACTGAAAGAGGCACTGAAGAGGGTAGGAAAGATAGTCGTGAGTAGCCAGCACCACCCCTCCTCCATCCCACCACAGCAGCCTTGTGGCACAGAAATAGAATCTGTGCATTTGGGAAAGGGAGACCATAGTGATTGTAGAACTTTGCATTGGAACTCAGTGCTGCCCCCTCACAACAGAAAGCAGGGCCAGTCAGAACTCAGCTGGTGCTCAGTAGGGAGCATTTAGACCAGCCCTAGCCAGAGGGCAATCATACCTCTTCAGTCAGAACCTGAGTTCTGGCAAGCCTTGCCACCACAGAATAAAGTGTTGTGGGGATCTAAATAAACTTAAAAGGAAGTCTAGGCTACAAAGACTGCAGTTCTTGGGCAAGTCCTGGTGCTAGTGAGAAATGAGGTGTGTTAGCCAAGGAAGTGCTTGCACCACCCTCCCCCAATCACAGACAGTGCTGCTTGCAATTCTGGAAAGACTCCTTCCTCCACTTGAGAAGAGAAGAAGAGTAACGAGGACTTTCTTTTGCAGCTTGGATACCAACTCCACCGTAGTAGGATAGGGCACCAAGCAGAGTTCTAAGGCTCCCATTCTAGTCCTTAGCTTCTGGATGACATTTCTAGACACACCCTGGTTCAGAAGAGAACCCACTGCCTTGAAGGGAAGGACCCAGTCCTGGGAGGATGCATCACCTGCTGAATAAAGAGCTGTTGGACTCTGAATAATCAGCAGTGACCCAGGTAGTACTTACCATGGGCCTTGGGTGAGACTCAGAGACATGCTGGCTTCAGATGTGAGCCATTACATTCCCAGCTGTGGTTGCTATAGGGCAACCACATGCTTGAGAAAGGAGAGGGCCAAGTCCAAAACTGAAGACATTAGAGCAGAAAAAAAATAGAGAGAGGGAAGAGTAAAGGAGATTTTGTCTTGGAGCTTAAATACCAGGTTGACCACAGTTGGTAGAACACTAAGCAAGCTCTTGGGTCTTCAGTTCCAGGCTTTGCTCTGGAAAAGTATTTCTGGATATTCCCTGGGCCAGAGGGAAGCAAGAAGGGAGAGTCCCAGGCCTGGCAATATTCCCCACAGGAACACTGAAGAGCCCTTGGGATTTGAGTGAACATTGGCAGTAGCAAGGCAGTACTTGTTATGGGTCTAAGACAGTGGTGGCTAGAGGGAGAGACTCTGCTTGTGCAAAGGGAAAGGAAGAGTGGGAAAGGTTTTCTTCTTGTGGCTTGGCTTTCAGCGCAGCCACAGTAGAATAGAACACCAAGTAGATTCCTAAGGTTTCCAGCTCTAGGTCCTGGCTCTTGGATGGCATCTCTAGACCTTCCCAGGGTTTCAGGGAACTCACTACTCTGAAGGGAAGGACATAATCTTTGCCACCAGCCCACCTGGGATGATTGTAGAGCCCCAGGGCATGGAGCAAACATAGATGATAGCGCCAGGCAGTAGTTACTGCGGGCAAGACCCAGCACCATGCTGGCTTCAGGTCTGCCACAGTGCAGTCCCAGTACTGGTGCTTGTGTCACCCATCGCCCAACTCCACATAGCTCAGCACAAAGAGGGAGAAACTCCATTAGTTTGTGAAAGTAAGGGAAGAGAAAAAGAGTGTCTGCCTGATAATCTAGAGAATTTTTCTACATCTTACCCAAGACCACCAAGGGAGTGCCCCTTCAAGTCTGCAGGAGCTACAGTATTACGGGGCTTGGAGAGCCCCCTAATTCAGACATGGCTGCAGAGGCCAAAAACTTAGATTACAAAACCCAAGGTTCTTCAAATGCTTGGAAATCCTTCCAAAGAAGGATGCCTACAAACAAAGGCAGACTGTGAGGACTACAATAAATATTTAACTCTTAAATGCCAGACACTGGCAAACATCCACAAGCATCAAGGCCATCCAGCAAAACATTACTTCACGAAACAAACTAAATAAGGTATCAAGGAATAATCCTGGAGAAACAGAGATATGTGACCTTTCAGACAGAGAATTCAAAATAGCCATTTTGAGGAAACTCGATGAAAGATAACATGGAGAAGGAATTCAGAATCCTAGGAGATAAATTTAAAAATAAGTTGAAATAGTTAAGAATCAGAAATTCTGGAATTTAGAAATACAATGGACATATTGCAGAATTTATCAGAATCTCTTACCAGACTAAGCAAAAGAAGAAGAGGAGAAGGAGGAGGAATGGGAGGGGGAGAAGGGAGAAAATAAGGAGGGAGAGGAGGGGGAGGAGAAGGAAGAAAAGACCCAAATAAATAAAATTAGAGCTGGAAAAGGAGACATTACAATCAATACCATGGAAATTCAAAGGATCATTAGAGGCTACTATGAGCAACTATATGCTGACAAATTGGAAAGCTTAGAAGAAATCAGTAAATTCCTAGACACATACAACCTACCAGGATTGAACCATGAAGAAATTCAAAACCTGAACAGACCACTAACAAGTAATGAGATCAAAACCATAATAAAGTCTCCCAGAAAAGGAAAGCCTGGGACCACTGATGAATTTCACTAAACATTTAAAGAAGAACTAATACCAATCTATAAAAACTATTCAAAAAAAATGTGAGGAGGAAATACTTCCAAACTCATTCCATGAGGCCAGTATTACCCTGATACGAAAACCAGACAAAGACACATCAATAACAAAGAACTACAAGCCAATTTTCTTGATGAACGTGGATGCAAAAATCCTCAACAAAATATTAGCCAACTGAATTCAATGACATATTAAAAATATCATCCATCATGGCCAAGTGGGGTTTATCCCAGTAATTCAAGGATGATTTAATGTATGCAAATCAATCAATGTGATACATCAAGAGAATGAATGACAAAACCATATGAGCATGTCAACTGATGCTGAAAAAGCATATGATAACATTCAACATCTCTTCATGATAGAACACTTCAAAAAACTGGTTATGAAAGGAATATACTTCAACAAAATAAAAGCCATATATGACAGACCCACAGCTAGTATCATAATGAATGGGGAAAAACTGAAAGTCTTTTCTCTAAAATGTGGAACATGACAAGGATGCTAACTTTCACCACTGTGATTCATCATAGTACTAGAAGCCCTAGCTAGAACAACCAGAAAAGAGAATGAAAGAAAGGGCATCCAAACTGGAAAGGAAGAAGTCAAATTATAAAAAATATATATATTTGTAACAGAAAGAAATAGTAAATGCTTGAGGTGATGGATATCCCATTTACCTGAATGTGATTGTTAGGCATTATATGTCTATATCAAAATATCTCATGTACCGCATAAGTATATACACCTACTATGTATTCATAAAAAAATTTTTTAATTTTTTAAAGGAAATAAAGCCAGGTCATTTGAAATTTAAAAGATGTGCATGCATACACACACACACACACACACACACACACACAGCTCTGACCCTTTGGGAACTTACACTGTAAAGGTGATGAGGTCTGTGTTATTCTCATCTTTGAGAACTTTGCTATGTAAAGAACCAATGATGAGTCATCTCTTAGGAGCTTGTTAAAAATGCAAATCTCAGGTCCAGATGTCCTAAAACAGAATCTGTATGTTATTTTATGATATCCCCAAGTGATTTGCATCCACATTAAAATCTGAGAATCACTGTTCTAGAAAAGAGCCTGAGGTAAAGATTAAAATTCTGATTTTATTTGAAAGCACAAGCGCAATAGAGTAAAAATAGGGGGAAAGGGAAATGAGGAAAAGGAAGCTGTAAACAATGAAATATTGTGGTGGCTATGACTTCAAAATGAGTCTGGAAGGGGCACCGAAGGTCACCCAGTAGGTAGGTTTGTTCTGTATGTGACTTCTTCTGCTCATAGTTGGCAAGGAAGATTCACATCAAACTCTTTCTCCTGAATCCTGCTTTCTACAGATTGAAATTCATACCACTGCATGGTTTCTGCACCCCTTCTATTCTGGGTTACTAAGTCCAGCTATGAAAGTGGAGGAGCAGGTGCAGACCAAGAAAACAAAAAATAAGGGAGCAGTTAAGAGTTTCTGAGATGGGCAGGGCACAGTGCCTCATGCCTGTAATCCTAGCATTTTGGGAGGCCAAGGTGGGCAGATCACCTGAGGTCAGGAGTTAAAGACCAGCCTGGCCAATTTGGTGAAGCCCTGGTATATTAATAATATAAAAATTAGCTGGGAATGGTGTTACATGCCTGTAATCCCAGCTACTCAGAGGCTGAGGCAGTAGAATTGCTTGAACCCAGCAGATGGAGGTTGCAGTGAGCCAAGATTGCACCATTCCACTCCAGCCTGGGTGACATGAGCAAAACTCCATCTTAAAAAAATAAAAATAAAAGTTTCTAAGACAAAGTTTGTATCTCAAAATAGTACATATGGGAAATTCCATCCAGATATGTTTGAAGTACATCGAAATAACATTTATTTGTCAGCAGAAATACAGAAAACCCTCTCTGCCAAACAAGGTAATTCACCATATAATTGTGAATGTTATGTTAGAAATTATCATCATGACTAGGAATTACTGTTCTTTCTTGATATTTATGAGTACTCCCTAACTCCCTGAGTATGACCTACTGTTCCTTTGAGATCACTCAGGATTTCCACATAACCATTATTAGCTCCTTCTCTATGTCCAGGTTTCTAGTTGTATTAGTCCATTTTCATACTGCTGTAAAGAACTACCTGAGACTGGGAAATTTATAAAGAAAAGAGGTTTAGTTGACTCACAGTTCCACATGGCTGGAGAGGCGTCATGAAACTTACAATCACTGTAGAAGGTGAAGGGGAAGCAAGGCACATCTTACACGCTGGCAGGAGAGAGAGTGAGGAAGGAGGTATCACGGTTTTAAACCATCGTTCTCTTGAAAACTCACTAACTATCACGAGAACAGCATGGGGAAAATCTATCCCTATGATCCAATCACCTCCCACCAGGTCCCTCGCCTAACACATGGGAATTACAATTCAAGATAGGATTTGGGTGGGGACACAGAGCCAAACCGTATCACTCACCCTGCTTCGCCACATTTATTGATATCTGTGGTGCATTTGTGAATCTTGAATACTCAGGCCCATTTTTATTCATCCTGTATACTGATCCAAACCACACCCACACATGTCTGTTTTGATATCAT